TGATCCTCCTGCCTTGGCCTCCCAAAGTGCTAGGATTACAGGCATGAGCCACTGTACTCAACCTAAAATAGGGAATTTAAAAAATTCAGAATAGATGCCATAGAATTAAAATAGATTGAATCAATTCTAAATTCAATAGAAAAATATTAAAAAGCAATAGAGAAATCCAGTGAAACTAAATGTTTCTTTAAGAAAGATCAATAAAATTGATAAACATCTAGCTAGACTGATCAGGTGAAAAAGAGGAAAGGCACAAATTACCAATATCAGGAATAAAACAGGTGACACGACAACAGATTCTGAGATACTAAAAATTTAAAAAGTAATTTTATGAACAACTTTATGCTAATAAATTTGACAATTTAAATGAAATGGACACATTCCTTGAAACACAACTACCAAGCTCTCTTTAGAAGAAATAGAAAATCAGAGTAGCCCTATAACTATTAAAAAAATGGAATGCGTAACTAAAAACCTTTCCACAAAGGAAACTCTAGGCCTAGATGGCTTCCCTGGTGAATTCTACCAAACATTTGTCAACAGAAAAGAAGCCAAACTCTGTAAAATAATGTAAAAAGTTTTATTCTGAGCCAAATTTGAGGATCATGGCCCGGAGCCACACAAAGAGGTCTTGAGCAAGTGGACTCACCGTGATTGGGTTACAGTTTGGTTTTATACATTTCGGGGAGACAGGAATTATAGGTAAAGTCATAAATCAATACATGGAAGGCATACATTGGTTTGGCCTGAAAAGGTGGGACATCTTGAAGCAGGCCTTATAGGTTGTGGATGGATTTAAAGATTCCTTTATTTGTGATTGGCTAAAGAAATGAAACTTTGTCTAAAGCCTTAGAATGTTTTAAGTTAAGATAAGGAAGTCTGTTAATCAGAGGCAAGCCACTGAACTTACACTCAGACTCAAGTGATTTGCTATGTAAATTGAGGACTTGTTGGTTTGTCTTGTATGGCCTTAGGCCTGTTAATGAGTTATAAAGAATATCTACATGAAGTGAGTGGGGCATGAAGTGATGACCTCCCTTCTCATGGCCAGCAACTCAGCTTTAGGGTATTTCCAGGGTCCCCTTGGCCAAGAGAGGGTCCGTTTAGTCAGCTGGGGGCAGCTTAAGATTTTATTTTAGTTCACACATTTAAGGAAGAAATATTACTAATTCTATACCAACTTTTCCAGACAATTGGAGAGAAGGCAGGGCAAGCTCCAGGTGTCTGCCTGTGGGACCCAGTACCTCCATGGGACTGGGCCTAAAATCACACTCTTGCGTGGCTTTTCCCCCATTTTCTGTCTGACTTTCTCTGGATCCTTCCTGCTCTTCCCTGGGAGCACCTCCCTGATAAATCACTTGCACACTAATCTTCATCTTAGAGCCTCTTTCTGGGAAACCTAATCTAAGACAGGTGAGACCCATACTTATAGGATGGGTAAAGGAACAGGAACCAGCAGACACACTGAAGAGAAGCCAGAGAAGTAGGATGAGAAGCAGGAGAGGGGGTGTTCTTAAGGCCACACGAAGAGGTTTCTCAGAGTGAATGGTCCAGAGTCAAGTTAACACTTATTCATTCAACAACTCTGAGCACCTGCTACATAGCAGGCACTGTGTTGGGAGCTAGAGACACAGTAGGAAGGAAGAAAAGCAAACTCCACTTGGACCCCACTCTTCTGGGGTTTACACTCCAAAGGGGAGGACAACCAAATAAATCTCACCAAAATATTCATAATCACAAAGATGGTTTTGCGAGAATATCTATCAAAGGAATGCAATTTTCCCCGAGGAAGTGACATTTGAGCTAGACCCAGACTAAAGGGAACCAGATACAACAACAAATGCACAAGCAACAGAAGGAAAATAATAGGTAAGTTGGACTTCATCAAAATTAGAAACTTTTGTGCTTCAAAGGACAGCATCAAGAAAGTGAAAAGACATCTGAGCAGAGGGGAAAATATTTGCAAAACATATGTCTGATGAGGGACTTTTATCTAGACTATACCAAGAACTCCAAAAATTCAATAATAAAAAGACAAATAACCAGTTTTGTAAATGAGCAAAGGATTTGAATAGACATTTATCCAAAGAAGATATACAAATGACTAATAAGCACATGAAAGGATGCTCAACATCATTTGCGTTAGGGAAGTGCAAATCTAAATCAACTGTGATACCACTTTACACTCAGTAGGATGGTTATAATAATTTTAAAAATGGAAAATAACAAGTGTCAGAAAGTGTCTTAGTTTGCTAAAGCTGACATAACAAAGTGCCACAAACTGAGTGGCTGAAACCATAGAAATTTATTGTCTTACAGTTCTGGACGCTGGAAGAACAAGATCAAGGTATCAGCAGGGCCATGCTCCCTCCGAAGGCACTTGGAAGGATCTGTTCCAAGCCCCTCTCCTAGCTTCTGGCAGTTTCTCAGCTTGTGGCCATATAATTCCAGTCTTCACACAGCATTCTCCCTGTGTACATGTCTATGCCCAAGTTTCCTCTTTTTATAAAGGACACCAGTCATATTGGATTAAGGACCCAACCTATACCAATACGACCTCATTTTTAACTTTACTAATTATATCTACAATGGCCCTATTTCCAAATAAGTTCACATTATGAAGTACTGTGGGTTAGGACCTCAACATATGAATTTTGTGGAGACACAATTCAACCTCTAACAGCAAGGATGTGGAGGAATTAGAACCCTCATATATTGCTGGTGGGAATGTAAAATGGTGCAGCCACTTTGAATAACAGTCTGGCAGTTTCTCAAAATGTTACCCCTTATGAATCAGCAATTCCACTCCTAGATATATACTCAAGAAAATGAAAATATATGTTCATACAAAAAATTATACATGCACATTCACAGGAGCATTATTCATAATAGCCAAAAAGTGGAAACAACCCAAATATCCTTCAACTGATGAATGCATAAACAAAATGTGCTATATATCATCCAATGGAATATTATTTGGCAATAAAACGAAGTACTGATACATGCTACAGTGTGATAGCATGGATGAACCTTGAAAACATTATGGTAAAATGAAAAAAGCCAGTGGATGAAAGACCACGTAATATATGATTCCATTTACATGAAATGGATAGAACTGGCAAATCCACAGAGGCAGAAATTAGATTGGTTGCCTGGGCTGGGGGAATTGGGGGAAGTGACTGCTAATGGGTATAAGATTTCTGTCTGGGGTGACAAAAATGTCCTAAAATTGATTGTAGTGATTGTTGCCCAATTCCGAATATTCTCAATTGAACTGTACATTTTAAATGAGTGAATTTTATGAATTTTAAGGTACGTGAATTACATCTAAATACAACTATTGTTGAAAAATAAATAAATAAATATATCCCAAACTCCCTACTATGAAAAAACAAAGAAAACAAAACAAAACAAAAATTAAAAAAGAAAGGGGAAGAACATTCCAGCAAAAAACAACCATTAGAAGGTAAACTCTAGAATGGCAGGAATTTTTGCCTGCTTTGTTTGCTGTTGTATCCCCAACACTAAAACAATGTCTGGCAAACAGTAGGTATAAGAAAACCATATATATGGATATATAGGTGAAGGAACACGTACAAAAGCTTTGTATCAGGAGAGAGCACGGCCCATTGGAGAAACGAAAAATCAATTTGTGATTGTGGGCGACACTGGAAGTGACTGGGTTCAACTGTTTGAGTCTTAATCCTGAAAGCAGTAACTAGCCACTGAGGATTTTAAGTGGAGGTGGATCAGATTTACATTTGAGAAGACCACCCAAAGCAGGGGAAAGTTGGTTAAGATCAGGGCTGAAAAGTTGGATTTAGCAACAAAGAAGTTGTTAGTGACCTTGGAAAAATCAGTCCAAATGGAGAGATGGGGTGACTAATTTGGGGAATTGGAAAGGAAGTGGAGCTGGCAAAATTATACTACACTTGGTAAGGCCTCTCCCTATTCCCCATAAGTCTCCAGGGAAACAGACCAAAAATACACTTGGCTGGAGAAATAACAAAGACATGTTCCCATGCATATTCACACACAGCCGGTTCACCATTGGATCCTGTTTCTGTTCAAGGATTCCATACTTCTCACCCTGACACAGAAGGGAGGCTTGAGGACACCTGGAGAGAGCTTGCTGGAGCAGGACATTTTATTATTTGGGAAATGACATGGTTTTAAATGTGTCACTGAGCAGCAAAGAGCAGCGTCAGGAGTGTGTGGGCGCGGTGGGGGCTGGGGGAGAGACTGTGGCACCGCCCGTGTGGATGCTCTCCTTGGCCCTAAGGGCGGAGTGAGGACGACCACACAACCACGTTAGGTGGCTGGCTGCGAGGCGTGGCCTTCGGGGGAAGCATCTGCCAGGGGACCGCTCTGTGGTCGAGTATCTATACCCCTTGTTCCAGGGAAGCTCATCCATGTGACAGCCTCGTGCACTCAGCCGCCAGCTTGGCCACCCGTGCGCATATTTTGTGCAGCATCTTTATTTTTTTTTTTTGAGACAGAGTCTCACTTTGTTGCCCAGGCTAGAGTGAGTGTTGTGGCGTCAGCCTAGCTCACAGCAACCTCAAACTCCTGGGCTCAAGCGATCCTCCTGCCTCAGCCTCCCGAGTAGCTGGGACTACAGGCATGCACCACCATGCCCGGCTAATTTTTTCTATATATATTAGTTGGCCAATTAATTTCTTTCTATTTATAGTAGAGACGGGGTCTCGCTCTTGCTCAGGCTGGTTTCAAACTCCTGACCTCGAGCAATCCTCCCGCCTCGGCCTCCCAGAGTGCTAGGATTACAGGCGTGAGCCACCGCGCCCGGCCTTGTGGAGCATCTTTAGAAGGAACAAGACTCACCTTGAGTCTGGTTTGTGGTTCAGGCTGTTGTCATGGGAGAAAATGAAAGCCAGTAAGTGTTCCACTGTGTAAATCTTCTGTAACTTTAACTGCTAAAAGTCCCTTCCAGCTGTATGGGGTAGGATTGTGGGAACAAATTAGAAGGTTCCCTTCTTTTGCTCAATGAGTTACTTTCAGCTCTTCTTCTGGGTGGACAGCATTTGAAGAAAACCAGAGAGAAGGCATATTTCTACAGTTTAAAATGGGGCTGGACATGATGGGGTCGCCCCGGAGCTACTCAATGCCATTCTGCGGCAGGGCAGAAGGATTATTACCTGCCTGAACCTACAGATGAGAGGAGTCCTGCTGCTCTGTGTCTGCGCTTGGCTCCAAGTGCGTGGATGTGCTGGGAATGGTGGTGTCCCGGGGGCGCCCCGCTGACACAGGTGGGGGAGACGCGGAGCCTCCTTCTGCACTCTGGCTGTGGTCACGCGCTGCCCGTGGGAGTGGTAAGGTAGGCACCGTCGCTTGGCCTCTCGACACAGGCTGCTTTGAGATTAACGATGAAATGGGGTGAACCAATGCAACGAAGAGCTGCTCCAGTCCTCGATGGGAAAGCCCGGAAGGTGGGGGCTCTGCCGGAGCTGCTATTCCTGCATTTCCCCGTGTGGGTGTGGAGCACGGTGCACGCACACATCTATTGCCCTGGCAGGTTTTGTGTGTGTGTGTGTGTTTTTGGGGAGGAATTTAAGCAAATGTTGTGCCTGTCATAAGCCAGGAATCTAGAGGTGGAAGTGAATTTATGAACGTGTTCATCAATTCCGATGACGTAAGGCAGGACATGGCTGTTCTGGGTGAGCCACCGAGAGTGCTGATGTCGACACCAGCAAGGCGTTAGTTTCCTGTCGCTGCCATAACAAACACTGTGGCCCAGGAGGCTTAAACCACAGAAACTCACTGCCTCATGGTCCTGGAGCCTCCAAGTGTGAAACCAAGCTGTTAGCCAGGTCGGTTCCTTCTGAGCTGAGAGGAAGAATCTGTTCTAGGCTCGGTTCCTGGCTCTGGTGGCTCTGGCGCTCCTTGGCTTGCGGATGGTCTCTCCCTGCATCTTCGCGCTGCCTCTCTGCTGCACAGGTCTGTCTTTGTACTCAAATCAACCCCTTTTGTAAGGGCACAGTTATGTTGGATTAGGGCCACCCCCATGACCTCCTCTTAACTAATTACCTCTAGATTAGGCCCTATTTCCAAGCAGGGTTGCATAAACAGGAGCTGGGGCTTAGGCCTTCGACATATTTTGGGGACCAAGTTCAATATGTAACAGCCAACAGCGATGTTGTCCCCTTCCCTGAAGGCATTAGCAGATGGTGCCCTCGTCCTGGCTTGCAGGCAGGTTGCACCAAGATGTACATGCTTCTTGTCTAGATCACGGACTACTCCCCACAGAGGAAAATGTAATACCTGCAAACTCTCTGTCTCCAAGCCTCTTTGTTTAAAAGAAATTTTGCTGCTTCACTTTCTGCATTTCTGTTCCAAAACCCCAAATGAGGTAGGAGAGTTGCAGTTGCGTGTTATGAGGGGCCTCTGACTTCTGCCTCTGGGAATGTTGCAAAAGAGGTCGGAATACATGTCCCTGGGGGCTCCAACGGTGTGGCTGAGAGTGGGAGAAAAGGCCCAGTGGCTGCTTTCCTGCCCGATTCAGGGCCGGGCTCTCTGCACGAGCAGAGGCTCCCCTGCCAAGGGCCAGGGGCAGGGCCGGCAACTCAGAATTGCTCTTCCCATCCCATGGTCATTATGGGATTTCCAGTGTGGCCTAGTTCTGACAGCCTGCAGGGCAGTCGTCAGCACCTGAGAGTTTCCTGTAAATGGTTTTAATCAGTCAGAGAAGACAGGGTCTGTCCTGGGGCCCTGGGGCAAGGCTCCTAGAGAAAGTGACCTTTGCCATGCACAATGGCAGGGGCTGCCTGAGATGTTCCAGTTTGGGTATTTAAGCCATAAGACTGCAAGCACTTTTCAAACCACTGCATGTCTGGTTAATTGTTTTGTAAGAATTCAAAGCAATGCTCTCCCTACCATCCCTCCACTCCATGCACCCATCGGGAGAACCCGGGCTGTGGAGCTGCAGTCTTGAGCTGGGTGGTGCAGAACACTCACAGTGCGTCATGGACCCAGTGAAGCACCTTCCCCTGACTAACAACCCTTTCAATTTCAGGCTTGACCTGATGTCCAAGCTCTTGGCGATGCCCCAAGGAGTTTGGGGGATCCAGGAGTTGCCCTTGTCATCAGACCATGACAACACACAGACTGGTGACTCTTGAGTCAACCCAGCTTAGAGAGCTCCCCAAGCAAGAGCACAAGACAGGAGAAGAGGATTTGAGCAGCGTGTGGGTGTTTCTCTTCCTATTACGTAATCCACACGTGTGTTCAAGGGGCAACTTCAGCAACGCTCCTGCCTCAATGGGCTTGGCAAGCCTGTCCCAACACAGCAACTGGCCATCCGGGGCAGAGAGCCGGAGGACGAAGCCTGCTAACACACAGAGTCGTTCTCTGGCCACTCTGAGGATGGAGGATATGGCATGTGTTTGAACAGTCTCCTAATTAACCTTGAGAACATGGTCACAGACACACACAAATGATTGGCACTGAAAGCACTTCTAATGTGAAACAGGACGGGGCCAGTTAAACTGTCACGGCTGGCCTGTGTCCCACTAAAAGGATAAGTTGAGGTTCCAATCCCCAGTACTTCAGAATGTGACGTTATTTGGAAATAGGGTCATTGCAGATGCAACTTGTTAAGATGAGGTTCTACTGGAGTAGGGTAGTGTCCTCATAAGAAGAAAAGAGACCCAGGGACAGATCCACAAGGACAAGGACAGGTGACCACAGAGGCAGAGACTGGAGTGATGTGTCCACAAGCCCAAGGGCACTAAGGACAACTGGCAACCCCCAGGTGCCAGGAAGAAGACAGGAAAGATTTCCCCCAGAATCAGAGGAAGCACGACCCCCCCCACACACACCTTAATTTTGGACTTCTGGCCTCCAGAACTTAGAGAATAAATTTCTGCTGTTTAAAGCTGCCCTGTATCGAACTTAGTTCCTGTAGCCCTAGGAAGCCAACAACTGCAACACTTTCACAACTGACTATACTCACCCATTAAAAAGTAACGCCCTGCAAATGATGCTTGGTGACATAGGAAAATGCTCATGCTGCAGTAAATTAAAAAAAAAAAATTGAATTGCAAACAGCATGCACTGTATAATTGCATTTTTGAAAAGCAAAATATGTACGTTTATTCACAGGGAGAAATGATTGGGAAAACATGCTGAAATGTTAACCAGGATGTTCTTGCTTATAATTAAGATTGTGGGTGATTTTCATTTGCTTTTGCTTTAGCTTAGTTTGTTGAAGTATGTCCATGCACTGAACATTGACGTACAAGAAAGAATGCTGGATTTCTTTTAGCAAAGGCAAATGGCAAGAGCAAAACTATGTGTACGGATCTGGGAGGTAAAGTCCCGAAAGTGTGTGACCAGGAAGGGAGGCAGCAGGACCAGGGCTGGCTTCTCAGGCACAAGAGGAACAGAAGAACCATCAACCACCTGGGAAGCCCAAATGATTCACTGTGTGAGAAATGCAAAGGAGATCGCTGATTTCTGGTGAAATGTGAGGTAAGCAACAGCCTCAGAAGCTGGGTGGGGTGGGAGGCCTGGGACCCTGCCCCTGTAGGTGGGCAGGGCTGCAAAAGTTCTCCAGGTGGCCCTTTGGGGAGAGGCCTCAGGGAGCTGTGGGATGGTTGTCAGCCCAGGTGGCCAGTCCTGGAGTCTTTCTTGAGAAAGTAATTCTAGATGTGAAAGATATTTCCATAAAATGATCACTGTCCAGACAGATCTGGAACCGTATAAATTTATGAGAGAGACACGGTAAACCTGCTCTGGTGCATGCACATGAGAAGGTGGCGTGTCCCGTTTGTAACAAGTGGGGAACATTTTCAACATACGATTCACCCGAGAAAGGCTTGATTCGACGTGACCCAGTGCATGGCAAATGATTGGGTGATCGCTAACATCGCCCCTTCCCATCCATTTCCTTGTCTAAAGGGGCTGGAGCAGCCGAGGTTCATGAATGAGGCCACACGGGACTCAGTCATGTGGACGCTGAGGTCTGTCCCCTCCGAGTGTGAGCCACAGCCGCTGCCTGTGAGTGACTCACCTGTTGGCGCCTCAGCTTCTCTTTCCGTGAAGTGGAAGTGGCATACTCAGGTTGCTGCGAAACGCTGATACATACGCAAGAGTTCATCAAAACAACAACAACAACAAAACCCAGATGGAAATAAAAAATCGTCAGTATTTACATCTGGATGAGATTGCAAGGTCATTTTCTCTTCTCTGTTTTCCAAAATGTTGATGAGCCTACAATATTCTTTTACAACAGTAGAGAATCCCAGTTGGGCGTGGTGGCTCACACCTGTAATCCTAGCACTCTGGGAGGCAGAGGTGGGTGGATTGCTCAAGGTCAGGAGTTCGAAACCAGCCTGAGCAAGAGCGAGATCCCATCTCTACTATAAGTAGAAAGAAATTAATTGGCCAACTAATATATACAGAAAAAATTAGCCGGGCATGGTGGCACATGCCTGTAGTCCCAGTTACTCGGGAGGCTGAGGCAGAAGGATTGCTTGAGCCCAGGAGTTTGAGGTTGCTGTGAGCTAGGCTGACGCCACGGCACTCACTTTAGCCTGGGCAACAAAGTGAGACTCTGTCTAAAAAAAAATAAAAAGAATCCCAGCCTCTGAATTTGTGCCTGTCCTATATAACAGAGGTCTGAGGAGGCTATTCTGGGTGTGGCCACACTAGGTCGTGGGAGTGTGCTCTGGGAGGCACAGGGAAGCCGTCAGCTCTCTGTGCCTTGGGGGAGTCACCATCCTCGTGCCCCAGGGAGCCAAGTGTCAGCCTAGGCCCAGCACTGCTGCAGGTCTCAGGGGCCCAGGAGGCGTCTGCAGGGTGCAGGAGAAAGGCAGTGTCACCAAACATGAGTTTGGTGTTTCAGCCTGGAGATTTCTTCTCTGAGAACCTCAAAGTTCACACAAAAATGGATCAAAGACGACTTTGTGGCAATAGCAATTATGTCTGTGATACGTTTATTTTGGTGCTAATATGTTAAATGGCTTTAAAAACACAACAGAATATATGGCATGAAAATATATAGCAAACTCTGAGGCTCATGCAAACACAGAGTATACATTAACAACAAAAGAGGCCGGGCGCAGTGGCTCACACCTGTAATCCTAGCACTCTGGGAGGCTGAGGCAGGTGGATCGTTTGAGCTCAGGAGTTCGAGACCAGCCTGGGCAAGAGCGAGACCCCCTCTCTACTAAAAATAAAAAAAAATAAAAAAATAATTGGCCAACTAAAAATAGAAAAAAAATAAAGAAAAAAAAAACAGCAAAAGAGTCAAAATTGCAGAATATGACAACGCAGTGATACTGGTCAGTAAACAGCACACAGGAATATATTCTAGCCGGAAGTCAGAGGTGAGGTATAGTCAGAGAAACTAAGTATGTGAACAAGAAGATAAATTTAGGTTATGAAGAAAATGATCTTAAAAGCCAATCTGCATTTTTTCCCAGATGCCCTTAAATGCACGTATAAATGAGGCGGCAGCTCATGGTCCAGTCTCAGCGGTCCTCCAGGTTGGTTAATTTCTGTGCATACGGTAACAGCTTCTTGCATGTGCCTGTACGTTGAGTAGTCTACAATTTGCCAGCGTTACCACTTCTCCTGGCCAGGGTCACCTGCCTGAACTCCTGTGCAGACAGTGAGAGTCCTGCTGCCGGGAAGTGTGGCGAGGTGAGCGTTCAGAGGAGACCCGAGCTCTGTCACCAGCCTTAGGTTAGGGAATCTGAAAGGCTATTACAGTTAAATGACAAATTTCAATTCTAATTTTGCCTATTGGCTCAAATGTTTCTGTGCCTCTGTTTCCCTACCTGTCTGGTAGGGGCATTGTGATCTCTATCCTCACCTCATGGCGTACACCCAAAATGCAAAGACAGTACCTCCCTGCACTCTGCCCTTAGGGAGCAAGCACTGATGGCTTGTAGCAGGCGTTTTGTATCAATTACCTCGTAATTAGCTCTTTCACCGAGGGCCGACTTCTCCAAATGTCTTGAGTGGCACATCTCAGATTTTAGAAACATCAAAGGAAGCTTTCCCAGTGGATCCGGGAGGCACAGTGTCCCAAATCCACAGAGCTGCAGGCCAGCCAGAGGGACCCATGGGCAATGGCATCCGGAAAGGGCAGCTTAGCTCATCCCCAGAAAGGGCTGTGAGACATGACACATAATTCTTCTTGAATAAAAGTTTTGCTTTCTGAGTCTTGCCGAGATACCACTTTGAAATAAAAGTGATGTGTCTGAAACTCAGCAGTCATCTGACACCTCCTTTGCACGTCTGCTGTGGGCTGGGTCCCTCAGCGTCATTACCATTCATATTCTGACCACAGTGCGACCTTCTCCACCAAAGACTGAAGCTGCTTCCCGAGCAGGGGACACTGAGGCTGGGCAGCACTGGGCATTGCACCTGCACCTTTTTCTAGACGCCTCCGCCCTGAAGGAATAGCAAAGACGCTCCTTCAGCAGCGCAAACAGGAGCCTCTGCTTTATTTGGAGACACAGACAGGATTCTGTGTGTCTTTGGAGTGGCATGTGCCGTGGAAATCAGGTGCATGGACAATGTTTGGGGGGCAGAGGAGACAGAAGCTCAGGGGTGCTACAAAAATTTATGGCCAAATTTGGAATGAAGGCGAGAAGAGTGTGTGGAGAGTGTTGAAGCCACTGGCCTGACAGCTCATGCTGAATTCACTGGCCTAGAATTTCACAGCTGAGTGAAAGGACACCAGCCACTGTCCGTCCACCTCTGGCTCTGAACTGAGTTCCAAGGTCAGTGGAGAAGGGTAGGGCTTGGGCTGTGCTGACCCGAGGGGTGCTCTGGCCTTGGGGAGAACTGAGCAGGGCTGGGACTGGAGCCCCGCTCAGCGGTGGAGTCAGTCCACTGCTTGAGGCCCTGAAGGGCCACACTCGGGGGTGTCACCTCCCAAGGCCGGGTTAGACCCACATGCAGAAGCTCCCTGTTCTTGTCTCTCCAGAGCACTGCCGCCCCCCTGGCTCCTGCCACAGTGCGGCAGTTCCCACTGCCCTTGTGGGCTCCACCCCACCATCGAGGGCCTCTCTGTGTGTGGGTTAGGACCACAGCTCTTGCAGACACACATTTGTCGCAGGTCAGGTCGTGGGGAGACGCTGGGCCCGACCTGCAGCTGGCTTCATCACAGGCTGCTCAGAGGACGCAGGCAGAGGCACCTCGGGGGAGCCCATGGTCCTGGGCTTTCCTGGGTCCCTCTGATGGCGTGGGTGCTCTCCTGTGGCTGCGGCCTAAGGGGCTCCCTGATCCCTGGGCTGTGCATACAGGGCGGGGGACTCGGCTGCTGTCATCTCCATACAGCGGCAGTGGTGCTCAGGAGGGCTTGGGGCAAAGGGAGCAGGCAGAGGACAGGGGCCGCTGAGACGTCCACTTGGAAACAATATGCAGGAAACACTTTCTGTTCACTTTATCCCAGACTCTGTATTTCCTGTCAAAGGAGTTTGATTCTCTAGGCTGCTTTCATGGCAGAGGTTGTGTCCTTGTCCATGGTATAACACAGACTGCAAAAATAATACCAAAACTTATGCTGGAAATCAGCAACACAGCCCCAAAGTGCTTTCAATATATTATCTTAAAAAAAGAACAAAATATGCACACGTGCGGTTGTCCCTGGAGCTGCAAGAGTCACACACTTCATGGGCTCGCACCTGGATATGCAGGTCGCTGGGAGCCTGCTTCTTTCTGCAGAGGATATTTAGGAAACGTCACCAATTGAGGCAATTATGGAAATAATATACCAGAATTTCTGGTGTGTAAAGGCACTCGGCTTTATAAAGCAAAAATATTTCTTTCATGAGCCATTTAGCAAACAGGACTGTCAGGCAATATCCTCTGGCTGGAAGTTGATAGAGAGGGGCGTGGGAGAGAGAGAGAGAGAGTGAGGGAGAGGGAGAGGGAGGGAGAGGGAGAGAGGTGTCCACATTGGGTGTGCATGAGAGGCTGTGTGCATGCGTGTGTGCATGCGTGTGTGCATGTGTGTGTGTGTGTGTGTGTGTATCTGTGTGTGGCAGCTGCCCTGGCCCTTAGGGACGAGGTGCTGAGCCGTCCAAGGGCACTGCACCCTGGCGAGCCCTCCCACCCTGCACCCCAGCCTCCTTACCTTCACCTGAACTTGCAGCCTCCTTCCTATAATACTTCTGGTTGTTCAAAGTTCACTCCCTTGTCTGTGCCTCAAAACTGAATGACATTTATTATTTTCCTGATTCTAAAGTTAGGCATGCTCATTCTAGAGAATTTCCAAACACAGAAGTATAACCCTCTGCCCTGCTGTGTCTGCTGGCAACGTTCTGTGGACGGATTGTCCCGTCCTCTCCAGACAGCAGTTGTGGATACCCAGCTGTGGGCAGGTGGAGAGAGCGTGCTCCATGTGCCGCCTGTTTTTTATAAAGTGACACATGTAACACATACTCTTGGTCCTCCCCGCCATGGTGCCCTCTGGCCTCTACCCTCTGCCTTTTCCCACTGCTAGGTCTCAGCACCCTCCTGGAAGCCTGAGTGACTTCATCCTTGCAAGCCTCAGGGCCTCGTGACCTCCTGCCATCCTGGCCCTGCCACATTGTTCAGTCTTAACTAGCCGGCAGCTCCTGCCCTGGCGCTCCCTCAAAGGCCAGGAGACTCCTCCTCTCGCTCCTGCAGGGTGTTCTCACATCTCTGCTCTGCCACCTGGCTCCAAGGCTGTGGTCTCCGGAAGACCTGGCTCAACTGCTATGGTCTCCGGAAGCCCTGGCTCCACTGCTATGGTCTCCCAACATCCTGGGTCCATGGCTGTGGTCTCCAGAAGTCCTGATGCCATGGCTGCGGTCGTTTGAAGTCCTGGCTCCATGGCTGTGGTCTCCGGAAGCCCTGGCTCTATGGCTGTGATATGTTGAAGTCCTGCCCCAAAGCTATGCTCTCCGGAAGTCCTGCCTCCACTGCTATGGTCTCCGGAAGCCCTGGCTCAACTGCTATGGTCTCCCAAAATCCTGGCTCCACTGCTGTGGTGTCTGGAAGTCACGGCTACATGGCTAGGGCTCCAGACATTTTTGCTCCATGGCCATGGTCTGTTGAAGTCCTGGCTCCACTGCTATGGTCTATGGAAGTCCTGGCTCTATGGCTGTGGGCTGTGGAATTTCTGGTTCCATGGTTGTGGTCTCCAGAAGTTCTTGCTCCATGGCTGTGGTCTGTTGAAGTCTTGCCCCCACTGCTATGCTCTCTGGACTCCTGGCTCCACTGCTATGGTCTCTGGAAGTCCTAGCTCTACTGCTCTGGTCTCCAGAAGGCCTGGCTCCATGGCTGTGGTCTGTGGAATTCTTGGCTCCATGGCTGTGGTCTCTGGAAGTACTGGCTCTGCTGCTGTAGTGTCTGGAAGTACTGGCTCCATGGCTGTGGTCTCTGGAAGTACTGACTCTCCTGCTGTGGTCTCCAGAAGCACTGGATCCACAGCTTTGGTCTGTTGAAGTCCTGGCTCCATGGCTATGGTCTCCGAAAGTTCTGGCTCCATGGGTATGCCCTCCAGAAGTCCTGGCTCCACAGCTATGGTCTGTTGAAGTCCTGGCTCCACTGCTATGGTCTCCGGACATCCTGGCTCCATGACTGTGGTCTCCAGAAGTTCTGGCTCCACTGCTAAGGTCTTCAGAAGTCCTGGATACACTGCTATGGTCTCCAGACAGCCTGGCTGATTGGCTGTAGTCTGTTGACATCCTGGCTCCACTGCCATGGTCTCCAGACATCCTAACTCCATGGCTGTGGTCTCCGGAAGTTCTGGCTCCATAGCTAAGGTCTCTGGAAGTCCTGGATACACTGCTGTGGTCTTCAGACATCCTGGCTCAATGGCTGTGGTCTGTTGAAGTCCTGGCTCCACTGCTATAGTCTCTGGAAGACCTGGCTCTACTGCTGTGGTGTCCAGAAGTCCTGGCTCTACTGCTGTGGTCTACGGAAGTCCTGGCTCCATGGCTGTCGTCTGTTGACATCCTAGCTCCATGGCAGTGGTCTCTGAAAGTCTTGGCTCTAAGGCTGTGGACCCTGGAAGTCCTGGCTAAACTGCCATGGTCTCTGGACATCCTGGCTCCACAGGTGTTGTCTTCAGAAGTCCTGGCTCCACAGCTAAAGTCTCCGGAAGTTCTAGATACACTGCTATAGTCTCCAGACATCCTGGCTCCACAGCTGTGATCTGTTGAAATGCTGGCTCCACTACTATTTTTAGTAGAGATGGGTCTTGCTCTTGCTCAGGCTGGTCTTTTTGAACTCTTGAGCTCAAGCGATCCTCCTGCCTCAGCCTCCCAGATGCTAGGATTACAGGTGTGAGCCACCACACCCGGCCTCATGGCCTCTTTAACAACAATTTTATAACATTTTCTATGTAAAGAATAGGAAAATGATTCAGTCTTTCCTCTTTCGTGGTAGATTGAATCTTGTTCTTTATCATTGTTAGTTTGGAAAAGATTCGTTCCGTTTCTCAACTCCTTATTTTATGATGGTTGTCAAATTTGGGGAAATCTCTTATTAAGGTTCTTTCCCTATGAGCTATAAAAGATCAAGGAATTTCACATTGCCTTGTATAGTGACATATCTTTTCTATCAACTTTGCTGAAACCAGACATCCTAGGATCAAAGGACCTCTAGCACTTTCAGGTCACTACACTTGTAATTCAGTATATTGGGAGCTAAGGGTATTCCTAGAAGCCATTCCTACACTGGGAACGCTAGCAATAACTTAAGCATACACGCTAAATGTAAATATATCCCACTGAACTCAAATTCAGAGTATTCTCTATTCCAAAATGCTTAAAAATGCCCACGGCCACTTCAATGCCTCCAGATAGGGAAAGTCGCAGTGGAAAGAGTCCGTGATCTTAACAGACTTGACTTAAAACATCTTAGTTTTGTTAACTTTATTTTTAAAAACACGATCGTGTGAACACGTTGCTAAGACTTCTTCCTCAGCCATAGAAGTGGCCTGGGCAAGTGACAGCCCAGAAGATGAAGCTTCCTTAGCGTCAGGGCACGTCACATTTGTGGCCATCGAGGCCCTTTAAAAGGCGGAACAAAAGGGAGGTCATGTTAATTCAGTTTGGAGGGAGGCTCGGGCGGAGCTCAGCCAGGTTTCTCCAGCCAGGGAGCTCTATGGAGGCCAGTCTGGCTCATGGCGTGTGGCCGGCCCACAGCAGCCCATGAATGAAGCTGTGGCTGCTCCTAGCCACACCCATGCAGAGGTCTTAGCTAACCCAACCCCGCCCTTCTGCAGCCGCAGCCCGATTCCCAGGGGGAA